CATACCTGAAATCGTCAATATTCCTTCTAAACTAACACCTAAAGGTTTTAAAATATGGGTTCTGGCGAACGAGGGCTATATACTCGATGGCTGTGGCACGCGAGAGGTAATAAAGCAGGCCCAGTTGATCTAAATATGACATTTACTAAGGAGGAAGGGTTTTCAAAAACGCAGGCAGTAGTGCTTGATTTACTTACTTAGCGCGATCCAGAGTTAAATGAGCCCCTTTATCCTCCAGGAAAGCACATTGTTTGGCTTAATAATCTATTTATAAGCGTTAAGCTTCTTATATAACTCCAAGGGCTTAGTATTAAAGGCACAGGAACTGTCTAAACTACTAAAATAGAGTAGGAGACAAAGGGGGGAGAGGAGGGCAATATATTAACTTATTCAGCTAGTAGGAAAAAGGTTAAAATAGCTATAGAGTAAATTAACCAGAGGCTTACTGACCTTAAATTAATTCACGTAGCTTAAATAGAGTGGGGTATACTGTATGCAGCGACGTTAAAGGATGGCTAGGTTATAGAATTTGCCTAAAAGGACGCTAATATCGTGCTTTTTATAAGTACAATTAATGACGGTAAATAATACACCAAAAATCTTCTAAAAATGAGGCTTAAAATACTAATTTCGTTATATATCGCCAGGTCGATTAACACAGAAAACCGACCGCAGACGTCCTCCCCTTACCTAAACTGGCGCTCGAATGACTCGCAAAGTCTTTGGCGATAAGGTAGTTAAGGCTTAATGCATTCCTACCTTTATATTCTACTACAATCTATATATAGGCGGCGTGGATATTACTGATTAGCTGTGGTTGTATTTTAACACTTAGAGGACACATAAAAAGACGTGGAAGCCTCTATTTCACTTCTTACTAGATACTGTCCTTGGCAACTTCTACCTACTGTCCTCCTACCGTCCAGTAATCTATTTGGACTGGAGTGGCGTGGATCTGAGGTTAAATCCACTCCATTTACTAAAAAGACGATTTGGCTCCAGGAGCGCCATGGAGCTCCAGTATAGATATATACTATTTATAGTAAGTCTTGGCACGACTTTGGTGTTGTATTTAGGGTAGGAGGCGTTTAAACTTACCAAAAAAGATCATCAGATTTGCTTATCAGTTTCCTTATTACCTTCCTCTATAATCTCATCGTTATTAATAACTACCACCCCATCGCCAGGCGTAGGCTCTTCCTTAGAGCCAATCTTTTCTTCCTTAATTATATTAAACTCCTCCTTAAAGCCAAAGCCCCAAGCGTCCTTAGGTTTAGTAGGTAGTAAAGTAAGAGCTTCCGCAGCCTTGCGAGCCGCGGAAGCTTATAAGGGTAAAACTAGCGGAGTCGCAGGCTCTCCTTCTACCTCTCTAACCACTTAATTGTTAAATATACCTTTCTATAGACGGCCATACGAGTGCCAAAGACACTTATTTGCCTTAACTATATCCATCCGCAATTAAGAGCGATAATCCTTAAGTAGAATCTTATAGCTGCTAAATAGCCTCTTATATTTATCTAATATAGGAGGCACCGCTAGAATATTAAGGGCAAAGCAAGCCAAATCAGGCTGGCTCTTAAGGCGATCTAACCAGTATTATAAAACGTTGAAGTGTTCGTTATCGCTAACAGGCTCACAATTGGTTTTAAGGTAGGCTATAAGATTGTCTTTTTTAAGCGGGGTTAATTAATCTTAGTAAGAGACTTTAAGGCGCTTATGAGCTTAAGCAGAGGTGTACATCTTCTCTTAATTTAGCTGCCGTGGTAGAGAGTTTAAATAAGGTAAATTTAAGGACCTTACTAAATATTTATCTTTATATTTAAGCCAGAGCTCTATAATTAAAGCCTTAACTATTAGAATCCACTTCTTCTTCTTATCTAAGCTCCCCCATTGCTGCTTAAACCACTTTATCTTAAGTATTAGATTTAGTATAATCACTATATAGTACGCTCTAGTGACATCTACCTTCTTAAAGTACTTCTTATACTTCTGCCATGCAGCTTCTACACAGCCTGCAAGATATTTATAGCTTTATGCCTTATAGCGGCTCTACTAAAGCTTCTGCTTCTTAACTAAGATCTCTAAAAACTTCTGCCTTATAGTGTTAAGCTCATTTAGGAGCCAATTAAGTGTTTAAAAGTAGTCCGCAAGATTTATCGCATTCCCTTTTACTATAAGGGTAGCCTTATAAAAGGTTTCTAAGTAATTATATAAGTATTTAAGCTCCCTCTAATAGTGGGGTTAAAGTATATTATCCTTAGTAAGGGGCTTTAAGGTAGCTGTTATATACTTATTATAGAAATGCTTAATACGTTTCCTGCAATTTAGGAAGCAACTTATAGCCATAAAAAGGGAATTCTATTATATTTAGTTATTCTAAATTAACTAATTAGCGTTAGTATTAACCTATAAAATAAAATAAATATTATAACCGTATAGAGACTTTTAACGATTTTCTACTAGCGTTTTAGAAAATCCATAACTAAGCCAATTAAACCCCCTACTTATAACGTCAGAGGGGTGTAGTTAGCTTAAACCTTAACACTAAATACCTATATAAGATCTTAGCACCTACCTCTAAGCCATTAAACTTAGCCAATAAACCTCCCATTTAGATCTTTGTAAAGAAACTATAATGCTAGGGGGTTAGGCGAATATATTGGATAATATTATAAAGCAGTCTAACCGCTCCGCGCTTTTACTATAGTTTTTTAACAGTCGCTATATCCTAATCGCGATAGGCCGTAGAGAGCTACTTATAAATCTTCTTGGAGTCCTTTTCTACAATAAACGCCTAGGCGTAAAGGTTTATAATATAGCTAAAGTAATATAGCCGACATACCTTCCGCTATTTTACTAATATATTACTATAAAGAGCTTAAAGAACTGCGTTAGTATAAGTATTATTTAACTCCGCATTATTAGCTATAAAATATCCTATATTACCGCAGATCTTATACTCCTTAAAAAGAGCAATAAATACACCCGCTTAATTCTCGCCGCTATATTCGCCTAAAATCTCTTATAGTCCAAGAACAGTATTATAACGCCTTCCTCTCCTATTAATAAAATAAGCAACCACCCTAAGAACTATATATGTATTTAGAGACGTCTAAAGATTAAAGGATATTAATATCGCGCTACGGGCTTCCTTAAGGTCCTTCTTTAATTGCTCTTTCTACTTTTTGTACGCCGTAATAACCTAACCCCAAATTATATTTACGGCCTTTAGAAGGAGCTTCTTAAGGCCTAGGTATAAGAAGAATAGGAGCTATTAAAAATATATATTCTTAAATTAGAAAAAGGCAATATAGCAATATATAATCTATTAAATTAGGAGCCGTTTAAAACTATTAAAATTATAACTTATCTCAAGAGCCCACTAAGTAGGGTACTCCTTAATCGTTAGCTAATCCGATTCGGGCATACTACTATTCTAGAGCTCGCCGCTAGTCCTATGCATATTATAATCTTCCGTAAGGTAATCTAAAGCCGTACACCTTCCTTTTAATACGATTATAAGCTCCTAGTGGCGCTTCTGCTTTTCATAAAGCCAGCAGTAAAAGTACGTGGTTTTGCTATTTAAATCTTTCAGGAAGATATCCTGTCGACCTGAGTCGGGTGTCATGCCGCCGACTCAGTTACCTACCCCTTGACTCGGTCACCGACTCAGTCACCGACTCCCTATGACGTACCCCCCCCCCTGTACCTGCATCTACCTTATGTATATATAGCCTCTTTTTCTTCATAGATCAATCTTTACACGAGTCCTTCTTTTCTCACAATCGGTGCACGGACTTCCGATTGACATATCCTCACCCCACCGCCAGATTGGTGACGTTCGTTGCTTAATATACTTTAGCTGCTTTGCAAGAGATTAACACCGAATATACTGTCTGCCGTAGAGTCGAAACTCGTCAACTTCCTTGGAGTCGTCGGCCTTTGGATTAATTAATTTTGGTACAAGAATGACGTCGTCAGTGGGCACGGCTGCGCGTATAGGAAAGAATCGTTCTATGGCAGTAAGGGAGTTAAAATTGAGCCACCAAGTAATCAAGTATACAGGAAGGAGAGTAGGAAGGAAAGAAAATGAGCAGGCTTCATAGATTGTATGGGGGACGTTCGCATTCCAGAAAACTGAGTCATTGTACGGCTCTACCGATTGGCTCAATACCACGCTCTGACACCTCATTGATCCTTCCTCTATAGCCACCTTCTAATTGGATATACGACTGGCGCTCCAAGAGCTCCAGAGCTTCAAGATCCACTCCACGCCACCAATCAAATCACCGGATCCACAGCCAATGCAAATCGGCTCCAGCCAAACGCGCCAAATCGGCTCCAGTCCAAATAGATCACTGACTACCGTCCTACTAATTGCCGAGCTAGTCGAAACGATGGCCATAAGAAGTTTAGAAGGGACCTCCGCGACGCCTTGTTCAAGCGCTCTATTCGCAAGCGAAAGGCCTATACCCAAGATGCACCTCTGCGACGCTCTACCGATGATATACTGTGGTATCCTCTACACCACCATACACTGAAGAAGCTCTGGGTCAAGCTTGTCAACTGTTCTGCATGCATGGAGGCTGGCAGGAAGTCTCAGAAAGCAAAGGGACGTCGCAAGCCTCTTTCGGAGCTCTCTACAAATACAACTAAAAAATGTCGTGATAGTAAGGATTGGAAAAGGCCTCAGCAGACGCCAAGGACTAGATATGGCTGTAGTGTATGCCAAATACCGTTCTGCAGAGAGGACGATTGCTGGCTACCTCATATTAAGCGACTCAACTCCAAAGAATAATCTATATAGATGTATTTGTATAAGAATTGATTAATATAACTAGCTTCATATTTCTGATCACGACGATTTTAATGCATTGATCTGATTGGCTGGTTCCTTATCGATAACGTGTGCACGAATTTCAGCGGGTTAAGGGATACTATCGGTTTCGCTCTTTTCTAATAATATAATTATCCTTATTTAAGTCATTCTCAATATTAAAGCACTGGTGGTTTAGTGGTGTAAGTATTTGTCCCCGCTTTTAATCATTTACACTGACGAGTAAAAGAAAATTCATCGTTGCCATCGTTGTATCGATGAGCCCTGGGTTCGATTCCCGGTCAGTGCATATAATTATTTTTTTTAATTCTGATAAACGTTATTATTACTTTTCTACGGAGGTGCGCACAAAAAGTATCGCGCTCAGGCATCAATGCCAAACTTAAACACCGCTATGAGCGGGGTGTGTTTGGCCTGCGAATAGCGCCTAAGGCCACGATTGTTTTGTGGCTTGAACGCTCCCCGGTCCTGATTACTATTGGAATGTTCTCTAAAGGATCCAAATTATTGCTCTCTAAGCGGAAATGATATTTGTGAGTCTTGAGACACCGTGCTACTTGTTAAAGCCATAATCTTAGCACAGCTGGTTGGGCGCGAAACTTTTGTGCGTACCCTCTCGCGCTACTCACACCGACACGAGGTACGAGTGTAAGGGTTTACTACCACGAGAACTGACAGGGGGATAAAACACATAGCAAACTTCGCCAAGCTTCGCTCTGATTGGTGCTTTTTGACCTCTAGACCTGTGGCGAAGTTTGCTATGTGTTTTTTCCCCCCTGTAACGTGATTGCTTCTTCTTGCCAGTTCCAGCTGATTCTAGCTGGTTCTATGATGGTGTTGCGGTTCTACTGCTTTGAAAGCGTGTATATGTGGTGCTACACCGCTTACCTCAGCGAGCTCAGACGTGATTTTTTAGCTAGCGTCGGAATAACCTACGCCGTCTTCCGAATTGCAAAATCACGTCTGAGAGGCTTTGGCAAGATTTGTTAAAAACGTAAGCAAAATCCGTAAAACGGATATTACGGATATCTAATTCATTTATTTACATAACGCGTTATTATTACTAAAAGTTTATACATTATTTTTAAGACTTAGGGCTTTTAAATAGTATGAATTTTATAATACGGCTATTACTCAGTCCTAATATTAATTTCGTTAAAGTCAAAAAACGCGTTGTCAAAAGCGTAAGCACGTATTGTATTTTATTAAATAGTCTACTAATACGGTAGTCGCTGCCTAAAGTTTTTGCACCTTCCCGATTAGGAAGTTAGGGCTTACCGCCCGCGGCAGAATAGTTAAAATCGTCAAAATTATGCGCAAAGCTTTAAACAAAAGGGTATATATATATATTTGATTGTGGGATTAATAAGCTAGCTATTTGGAAGTTGTTGAGCTCTGCGCGGGCGCAGCTGTCGGCTCTGCGGAGGCTCAAGAACGTCTTCAACCGGTTGAGTAGAGTCCTCTATATGCTTAATTCGCTGACGTCTTCCTATAGCTTTTGAAGTCTTTTGTATAGAGCTTTGGTGTTGTAGAGGCTCTGCCAAACTTAATGCACTGTTAATTATCCCGCTGTCCGAATCTACTGCCTTACCAGAGGTAGGTGAAGAGTCCTTCCTTATCTACTTCCTTTTTGGCTGATTGATCATGTTCTACCTAATATCTGCCTTATAGTATTGAACTTCCTCCTCCTCCTCCTCCTCCTGCTGCTGCTGCTGCTGCTGCTGCTGCTAATATTGCGGCTCTACGAAGCTAACTTTAAACTCCGCCTTCTTTAAGTTTCTGCCCTTTGTATCTAGTCGGTTCTGCCGTATAGGAGGTGAAAGAGGATTAATAGGTGGTAGAGGCTTAAGCGGAGGAGGCTTGGAGGCAGCTAAGGGTTAATTAGGAGGCTTTGCAGTTTGCTATATGGCCCGTTAACTAGGCTTGGTACTTAATCAATTTAATTTAATTGAGGCCTTGAATTGATTGAATTGAAAGCTTTGTAAGCAGAAGGCTTAGTTAATTAAATTGATTAATTTAATATTGAAACGATTGCAACTAATTGCAACTATGTAGTAGTTAGTGATTATTACGAGTCTTGGCATGGTGTTGATGCAGGAGGACCTACCCAGCGACGCCCGGATCGCTTTCTACTGTCGTTTCTGTTACTTCTGCCGTTAATATAGGCCTATTGTGGGTCTTAGCGTGGTGTTAAGTTACTATCCTGCTGTGTACCTTCTGTTCCTTCCTTCTGCGGCCGCCTTAACTGCCTATCTACTATCTTAATTACGCCTTCCCTGTCCCACGATCCTACTGCCATTAAAGCTCTAATTATATTAGATTGTAGTCGTGCGCGATTAGGAGTAAGGAGCAAGCCTATGAGGCTAAATATTCGTTTAGGGTCTGACAATATTAGTGGAATAGTCATTAAATCGAGAGCTATGCGAGCGAGTCGTGGATATTAAGTTCTGTTTACTCTAGCTCGCTAATAGGTAATTAGATCCGTATATTAAACGTCTTTAGGGTAACCTACTCGTGCTAGCTAATTGTTATACTTGTCGCGATCTTGTGTAGACGTAGGCTGAGTGAAGCCGCCGGTAAAATAGTCGTCGATTTTAGATAAGAAGACGCGCCGCTGTTTAAGAACCTTGCCGTTAGTAACTGATTTAATTGGAAGGAATTTATATTTAAGCCATAGATCGCGAATAGCTTGCTTAGCTGCTTCCTTCTAACCAGCCCGTTCTTTACCTGTCCAGTATTTATTAGCGAACGTCCATTTAATTAATGGATTAAGGACTATGGCAGCGATATAGGCAGGCGAACAATTAGTAAGTTAGTAGTATTTGGTTAGCTTTAGCTAAGCTGTATTAATATTATGGCGGAAGTGAGGCTCCGGGTAGTGTTCGTACTCTATTTTAAAGCGCTTAAATTAATTAAGTAGATACTTAAAAATAGGAAGGACCTCCTATAAGGATCCGAATTTGCCTATATTAATTAGTTTACGATAGAAATTAATAACGTTAATTTATATATGCCTTCCTTTAAGCATCCTTCTAGTCGCTTTGTAGTAATCTAAAGAGGCTTTAGAATAGCTTGATATTTAGTTAATATAGCCCAATCGTCCTCTGTTAGGTAGTTTTTAATAATATTAGGCTTTTTACGGACTCTTATAGGCGGATCCTTTATACCATTCTTAGTAACCTTAGCCTAGTATATTATCTATTTAATAACTTTGTCACTAATAAGGCGATTAATGGGGTTTTGAAGCTTAATAGCTTGTTTAATTGCTAATTTTATGGAGTTCTAGCGCGTCTCTACTGGCTTAATTGGAAGAAGCTTGGTAGCGGTTCGTGATGTATTGTCTTTAAGCTCTAGATCTTAAAGCTTAAGTAGCTTTTTAATGCGTTGCTTAGAGTTAAATATCTAAAAAATAATATTATAAAGCTTGCTAATAGGCCTAATCTTCCTTTAAGCTAATATCTGCCGGAGGATTTTATCCTTATTCTCTTCTTCCTTATTTAGAGCCCTTGAATCTACGCCAAAAAGCAGTATATAAGCGACTAGATTAATAATATAGCCTATATAACGAAGGCGACGATATAGCGGATTAAATCCAAACTTAATGAAGAGTTCGTTAATGCAGGTGTTATTATTATTTACGTTGTCCGCTATAAAGTAGCCTACCTACTACTTACTAATTCCAAACTTAGTAAGGATTTTTTTAACGCTGGCTGCAATATTAACGCCTAGATGTTGCTTTTCTTAAGGAGGGAGGGCTAGAAGAAAGGAACGGTGCTGGTTCTTTTTGTCTATAAAATAAACGACGATTCCTATATAGTAGTTAGTAATTAATGCAATAAAGGCCTAAAAGCTAAGCTTACTAAGTAGTGATAGATGATTACAAGACGTTTAAAGATTAAACGATAGATGAATCTTGCCCGGAGCTCTATATAGTAGAGCAGTAACTACTTCCTTATGTCGATTAAACTTAGTAATTATTAGCTTTTTTATTATCCGATAAGTAGGTAGAAGGCCTGCGGTTAATATAGCTTAATTAGCGTACCCTATAAGATCGTGAAATATACTGCTTTTAAGCTTATAAAATGGAATGTTATTACGTATAACCTATCGCATTAAAAGCTAAGTAAAACGATCTGGACTAAGGCTCTAGATAATAGTGTTTATTCGGGCTTAATCCTCTAGCTTATTAGCTTAAAGATGTAGCTATTTAAAGACTAATTGTCCTAGCTTTGCTTTCTTTCTAGGACCGTCGCTAATATTGTGTTCTTCTAGCATGTGCTTAGAATAATTAGTAGTGCCCGAATCTAGATATATATATTATATATGGGCCTTCTTCCTATGGCAGATTTTGTAGAGCTAATACCGCCTACTAGTTTTACCATGCTTAATATCGTATTTATACTACTATATAGGCCCGCGACGTCTGCCTGCCGTTAAATGAGGAATATGGTAGCTAAGAATGCGCTTTTAATTAACTTCTATATAGTCTTCTGGCTGAGGATCGGTGGTAGACGCGTTAGTATTGCCATTTAAGCTGTAAGCGTGCTGGAGGTTGGTAGGGACGGTAGGATTAGAACGAGCTGTAGAGAGTGTTGAGGTATTTGTTTAGCTATTATCTAATATATTAGAAGCCATGGTGGTAATAAAATTGATATTATTGGTGGGCAAGTCTAGTAGTAAAACTCTTCTTACCTGCTAAGACTCTGGCGATAATATAACACTATAAATAATGGGTGATGCTTGGGTAAACCTTTTTTAGTAAGGAGGACTAAGAAAAATAAAATCTAGAGTATTATTGTATGTTATATTCAGCATATTTCTATATAATATTAAAAGTTTTAATATTTATTAATCAATTTAATTCAACTAGGACTTTTATATTGATTGAATTGCCAAGCTAGCGAGCTCTTAGTTGATTGAATTGATTGAGTCTTGGCATTCAATTCAATTCAATATTGAAACCTGGGTGATTGAGTACCAAGCCTGCCGTTAACGGCGGCGAAGCTTTAGGGTGTAAATATATGGTAGAGGCTCGATATCTATTAAGGCGTTCAGTAGATGAGGTCCCATTTACATGCGCTGCGGAAGCTCTAGCAGCAGAGGCTTCCTAAGAGGTGGCTCATTTGGATCAACGCGATTAAGGCGTAAGAGCACCTGCTTTTGCATATAAGCAACTACATCGCGACAATAGCCATCTTGGCGCTTAAGAGCCTTCCAATCTCGTGCATTGTCGGCAGCGCCTTCGCGATACTCGTTGCCGCCTTCGCAGCGGATTACCTCTTGTATATA